GCAGACCTTCTCAAACCCATTAATGTTCAAAAAACAGAAGACCTTCTCAAACCCATTACTTTCACCTTGACATGTTATAAAGTAGGGAAAAAGAAAAAAACAAAAAAAAAAGAGAGAGAAGAAAGGAAGAAAGAAAAAAAGAAAAAGAAAAAACAGTTGTGCAAGGGTCAAATTTAGCAACCTATGTGGACCTCAGAGAACACGGTGGTTGACCACATAAAGCCACAAGTTTAGCTCCTTGTTGCACGTGTGGTCCTATAGTCCATATCCTTCAATGATGTGAAGTTTTGTTTTCTCATGGTTGCCATCAACCTAGGTGCATAGTAGTATAGCATCCACGCTCATATGAATAGAGCGAAACGATTATTTGCTCCCGAGGGATCATATTGTTCTCTCACTCCCTCAATCAAAACTCTATCTAGGAGTATTTTCAACACCGTTAAATTCAAAGATATAACCTTCTCAACCTAATGCCAACCTAAAAAAAATGGAAAAAGTTTCATAGACACTATATACGCTTGAAGAAATAACAATTTAAGGCTAAACAGAGGGTTTGAGACATTTTCAAAATTTTGGATCGGTTTGATCTAAGCATTTAGAAACTTAAAATTCAGTTTTTTTTTTTTAAAAAAAAAAAACCTCATGTCACGAATCTATAGTGAATCCTCAAATCCTCCTTGGTAGGGAAGGCTTCAACTGAAGTAACTACCTGCACAGGGAGGGCGTCGATTCCCCCCTTGAGAGTCAATATATAGCAGCTTCTGATACTTATAACAGCGGCGGGATAAGCACAACAAGAATTCCCTCCTGACTCTCAATGAGAATATGAGTTTAGGTATATGGAGGTTCTAGGGAAAGCATGATATGGTTGTTTGGTCCGAATGTATCAGAGTATTGTGTGGTCCAGCGGGTGTACACTAACTTCCTCTTGAAAAAAATGAGAACATGGGCCACCGTTCACCACGTCCCTCAAAACTTAGGGTGTCGAAAGAAAACAAGATAAATGGTGGAGGGGTCCATGAAAAGAACTGGGCTCAAAAATCATACCCAAACTTCAATTGTACTATACAATATATGGACCCTATGTACCATATGGATCCTATAGACGCCAATTATGACAAATACTTTGAAATTTTATGCCAAAGACTATAACGTAACTATCAAGATATGGACACCATACTTTTAAATTTCGGCAAAATTTTGGGTGATTTTCAATTATCGGAATATTTCAGTTGGCATTTTGTACTTAAAACCTTGGTCAATAATATTATGGGATTAGAAATCCAAATAGGAGGCTTTTTAACACTTAATGCAGCCGTAAATAGACCAAATCACGATTTTTATTTGGGCCAAAATATTATATGCTCCTGTTGAGCATATTGTATATTTGGTAAGACCGAGGACTACTTTTAGAACCTCAATGGCGAAGATGTAACCTTGTAAGCTTACTTATCAACGGCCCCTCGGAAGAAAAAAAAGACAATCAAACGCATTATGGGTGCATGAAAAATCTAAACATTAAAAAAAAATTCTAAGTCAAAATGGAGTATGTCAAGTTTTTGGATGGCCAAATCTAAGGGGATTTGTACATTATTATGAAACTATTTATCTTTCTTATAAGGAGGTCACAATTGATATTAGTTAGTAGATGTCAACGATGCAATCACATCCATCCAATTGAAATGTCACCCACAATAATGATTGTGGTGATTGTGGCATCTTTGTATAAAATTTAAATAGTCTCTTTGTATACTTTTCCAAATCTAAGAGCTTAGATACTCAAAAACATATTTTTTTTCATGAAAATACCCATCCAGTGATTATAAAGCGCACACATCATTCAAGACCTAGAAGTCCTAATTTGATCTTTTGTCCGGTCAATTGCCTAAGGGAGTAAATATACATTTTGCTCCTGCAGGGGTATGCTATGCGTGCTCTTTGTTGGTTTAAGTCCCTGTCACCGGCACGTTTGAAGTTCAAAAGTGGGCTTCTTCTTTATGCTTTTAAAAGTACTTAGAAGAACTAGGTCTAGACCAAGTTTGGATTAAAATAATCTTTCATGTTTTGACCACTTATCTTGGCAAGTTAGAGCACGTGTGAGTGCAATTGTCACAAAATCCTATTATAGAAATACTAATCATTTAGAATCTAGATATGGTATTTTATACAACGAGACCATTTATCTTTATCACGAAGAGGTCATATTAATTCTTACTCATTAGATGTCAAATTAGATGGTTTGGGCTAGTCACGGAATACGAGAATATTTTTTTGAAGCTGATGTCAAATTAGATGGTTTGGGCTAGTTACAGAGTATGAAAATATTTTTTTGAAGCTTAAGTCGTTTTAGTGACACTCTTACAATCACCCAAGCTGAAATTCAAGGGACAAGAGTGTTGGTAACCTCCACTAAGTTGATCCACATTAATGTTTAGAACAACAGACTCTAGCTCTAGTTCACCAGAGCTCAAGTTCCCATGTTTGACTTGAGCGAAGCCTAATCGAACCAGGAAGTTTTTTTTGACATAGGCCACTTTGAGAATACGCAAAACTAGGAGCCCTAGTCAAAATTGGAGTTTTTGGATCCAAAATCATCTAGCCCTTGATTTGGTTATGATATTCAAAACACTAATCCAAATTGTCCATTTGGCAGGGAGATAAGGAGACTTGCACTCTGAGCCAATATCCATATGTCAATCCCGACCATTCATTTGTTTCGACTAGTGTTTCAAAACCTAGATCAGTGGACTTATATATTCATGTCAAACCGTTGGATTGATGATTTGGATCGGATCTGGATCGGTAAAAGTCAGTGATGGATAAAAATGTTAAAAAATAAAATAAAATAAAAATTCAATTAGAGGTTTATAGGGTGGGGATACATAGAGGACCTAGGAAAAATTATATCAGTTTAAATAATATATATATATATATATATTAGGGGGGTTCCAGCAGGGAATCAGGCTAGGACCCAATACTATACCTAAGTCCGTTCATTCGTGATTGATTCTCATCCGAATTGGCAATCTAGATTGAAAATTGGACTAGAAGGGTATATTCGAGCTCATTTTATCCCACATTTAACATGCATTTTGGCTCGATGGTACATGATGTACTAAGCCTACCAGGGGATAGGGGGACACGAGTTCTTGGGTTGGGGAAATGGATCTAATTGTCGCCCTCCTCTTCGACCAAGTCACGGAGAAAAGAGGAGCTCATATATTCTCTCTTTCTAAAAAAAATCTCTGTCTCTCTCTCTCTCTAGGCATAGAAGTACGGTCAAACACGATGCATTGTCTCACATGAATCCGTCTCTTGTGTGGGAATAATGGGAAAAATAATAATGAGAAAATTAATAGAAAATGACCATGGAGATGATGAAACCTTGAGTAAAATAATGATAACAATAATAGTAAAGTTTAGAAAATGATGACACGTTGGTAACAAAATAACAAATATAGACGATGATGGAGATAAAGAATTTGAAAATAGGGGAAAATACAAAAGGGCAAATTAGAGCCTACTTTCAAATAGTATCGAGAAATTTGGTTTCAATATTGGAAATCTTTATAATAGCCTTAAAATATACTTTTATCTTTATTTATAAAGTTTTAAGTTTTAAAAACAGTGTGGATAAACTAATCTATGAAAATCTTGAAAATTGACGGTTCAAAACGTACGTTACAAAATACATTACAAAATAAATTATTGCCAAAACTTGAAATCTATTTCTTTTTTATGTCCATGCATCATGATGTTGAGATGGTCAATTTGGGGATATTTGAGCATCAAAACAACCTCTTTTAGTGAAAATTTTTAGGTAAGCTCAAATTTGATTGTTTAGAGCCTCGGCTCTATATAAATTTTTCCTAATACAAAATATTTAAATTATTTAAGGTTGACCATTTTGTTGTTTATTGTTATTGTTATTGTCATTATTATTCCCATGCACGGGAATAATCCAAAGTATTGTGCAATAATCTAAAGTACTTTATGGCTTTTATTTTTTAATTTTTATATTTATATATTTTTATCAAGAAAAGTGCAAATATATAAAATTTAAAAATAAAAATTATAAAAATAAAAAATATACAAAAAGATCACAATTATCCTTAACTACGGGACATGAAATTTGGTAGCAAAGGGGTATTGTCAACCACAATAGAGGATTAAAAAAGTTTTATTGAGGCCCGAGAAATTACATAACCCAGCTAGCCAATTTTATCTGAAGGCTTAAAGTGTTCATGATCTTTGTGCATGAAAAATAAGAGTCTCATTGTATAGAATCTCTTATTATTAAGAGCATGATATAAATATAATAAAATTTTTAAATTACATAATTTATCAACTACTCAACATTTCAACCGTTTTCAACTGCTTCAAGTCATGATCCCGCGTATTTTGATGCCTTTTTTGAAATTATAATATGTTAAAAAGTTGTGATCCTAGATGCATTTTGATCAATTTTCCTATATAATAAATTATTAATAAATAAATCATCAATAAATTAAGCACAAGGAGGGAAACCCTGATGGTTAAAAAAGTTGAAGCTTGACTCTTTGAAGAAATCAAAGTGTAAATAAATAAATAAATAAATAAATAAGAAAAAAAAAAGAGGGAAAACCAGTCATTTGGTTTCTCAAGGTACTTATTCACATGAAACTTATAAAAATATTATTTATTTTTTGGCAAGAAAAACTTATAAAAATATATTATCTTAACTAATTCTAGTCTATATTTAATAAAATAATATGTAAGTATTACTTATGAAAATTTAATGTGATTAGTTTATAAATAAATAAATACTATAAAGTATTATAAAAAAATTTGGAGAAAGTGGTGGTCCCCCTCGCGCAAGGTGCAACATAGCCTGTGGGGGGTGGGTAAAAGTTGGTCGTTCGAGTCTTCGTTTGAGCTTGGTTTCCAAGAATATAAAAAACCTTTTATTACTAAAACTTTTCTCTCTGTAAAGTTAGAGAGAGAGAACCAAGATTTTAGAGAGAGAAAGTACAGATTGGCGTGAATCTTGAAGAGTTTGAGGTGGTGGTAGGGGCTTTGTAGATTCGGATCTTGAAGGAAGAATGCCACACACAGTTCAGTCAAACAACCAATGGAGATCAATGGTTGACAGAGAAATTTTAAAGGGAAAAGGTCATAAAAAAAAAAAAACGGGAGGAGAGAGAAAGAACTTTGCCCGGTCTTTACGCCTCCTCGTCAAAACCCCACCTCTTTATAATACTCCCCCATGTTAATCAATCCCCTTCTAAGCCATCTCCTCAACCCTTGAAACTCCATCTCTCTCTCTCTCATCACTTCATTGGAACATTCCTTCTCATCTTCTCTTTCATCTGTCGATTTTCAGATCAGGATCACGTTTATTTCATCCCCTCCTCTCCCTTGTTTGAGTCTCTCTCTCTCTCTAGAATTTTTGTGATCTTTCTTCTCTCTCTAGGCTTGGACCCTGCGAAAAACTTGGGGGGTTGGGTCTTTCATTCCCTGAATCTAGCAATTGGGCTTTCTCTGCAATCGATGTTTTTTCATTAGAAATGCCCCATCTCTCACTTTCCTAGCTTTTAGCGAGAGAAAGAAGAGATAGAGAGGTTGGGTTGATGGGGATCAAGTTCATGAAGTTCCACATGCTTCCTTGGTGCTTCCAGATGATGGGGAGCCACATTTCCTGTGTGCAGTTCCCTACAAAACCTCCTCTTGGGACTGTGAAGCTGATTCAATCTGACGGTGTTGTGAAAATCTATCACAAACCAGTCCATGCCTCTGATCTCATGCTTCAATTCCCAAAACACTTGATCTGTGATGGTGATTCTTTCTTCATAGGCCAGAAGATCCCTGCTCTCTCTGAAAAAGATGAGCTCAAGCTTGGCCATAAGTACTTCCTCTTGCCCAAGCACTTTTTCCAATCTGTTCTCTCCTTTGTCTCTCTAGCTTCTTTTGCATCAGATCAAATATCTCCTTCTCCTTCTGGTTCTTCGCCCGATTTGATGGCGAGACGGAAGACTTTCGTGAAGAAGGCGGCGAATTGCAGGCCTTTTGATATACACAAGGCCCCGAATGGTGGTCTGCAAATTAGAGTGTCCGATGAGTTTATTGCGAAGCTCATGGAGAGCGGGAGCAATGGGGAAGAGGAAGAGAGATTTAGGGGGAAGGTTTGCACGAGCAGAGAGTTGCAGAAGGATTATATGCAGCTCGTGAGGTCCCGGCCATGGCGGCCGAAGCTCGAAACCATCAAGGAATCAGATAGAGAGAGAAAAAGGCTTGTTGGGTCTTTTGGGATCAGGAGGAGGAAGAAGACCCAGCAAAGAGGGCCTGGAAAGAAGTTGCAGAGATCATAGAATTGGGTTTCTGGTTCTTCCATTCGCAAATTCTAGAGAGAGAAATAGGAAGACTGTAAATTGGTGGTTGTGATCCGACAATGGCCTCTCTCCAGTTAACAAAGGCTAGAGAGAAGGAAGGAGAATGGGGAGTGTTGGGTTTTGCTGAATTCTCATAGCAATGGCCGCTCAAGCGAAGAAAATCTAGAGAGGGAAAGATGGTGACTGTAAATTCGTGGTGTTGTGCTCAAAGCAATGGATGCTCTGTTACTGTAAAATGTACTGTTACTGTTACACATGGTGATACAAAAACTTATTTTTAAGGGAAAAACAACCCTTTATTTATGCTCTTATTTCTTGTTTGCCCCTACTCACCAAAAATGCTCTCTCTCCCTGTACCGGTTATCTTGCCATTATGTCTTTGACTTCAGGGACAGGACTGAAATTTAGCCCAACTAAAAATTATGAATATTTCAACTGATTTCAGCCCAGATTTGAGTGAGAGAGAGAGATCGTTTGACATAGATATGAAATACTAAATAATTTTAGTTCTTTTTTAATCTAGGCCTTATGTTATTTATTTATTTTGTGATTAGATAATTCAAATTTGTTTAAAGAACATCTATATAATCCGATATCAAGGTTAATAGTGGACTTTTTAAAATGAGAAATGGATAATGGTTGTTTCTAATTTTTTCTATGGGCTTCGGTTATTTTATTTCTAATTTTTTGGAACCAATTCTCTTTGGGTTTTTATTTACTATTTCACTCTCTTTTTTTGGGTTTTTGTTTACTGCTTTCCAATTTTATCTGGTTTTGTGTTCATTGTGTTTTTGACCCAATCTTCTTTGATTTTTTGTTTTATAACCTATCTTCTTTGGGTGTTTATTTTCAATCAATTTTGTTTTGGGGTTTTTTTTATTGGTTTTTTTTACGAGTGTTTGAAAAACCAAACTGGCCGACGGTCAAGTCCTCGTAACCGGTAAACCAGCATGTAAAACCGCCTAACTGGGCTAATCCCTTCTAGCACAAAAAGTATTTAAAAAAAAAATTGAAAAATGTATTTAAAGTATGATTAAACAAAATGCATCCAAATAAAGTTGAAAAGTACAGGAAACAAATGATTCTAAAAAATTGATTTGTGCCAAAGAGTTTTTTTTTAAAAAAATTTAAAAATATGAAAAAAATGACAAAATAAGTATTAATGACAAAAAACACTTTCCAATATTTTAAAAAATCATAAAAACATTCAAAAACACATTACAAATGAATCTCTTATTTTTTTTGGATTTTATATATTGTTTTTTGAATTTTATTTTAAAATACCCGACTAAACCACCAAAACTGACCAAAACCTGGTTCCACTTTGACCAGCCGGTTCCGAGTTGTACCGGCCAAGTTTGCTGATATTGTATTTTGCCCTATTTTCTTTGGGTTTTTTGTTTACGATTTTTTTACCTGATTTTCTTTGGATTTTTATTCACAGTTTTTTAGCTCAATTTGTTGCTTTTACTGTTTTTTACACAAATTGCTTTGGGTGTTGTTGCTTTTACTGTTTTTTATACGAATTTCTTTGTATTTTATTTACATTTTTCTTGCCCAAGTTTTCAAAGTTATTTAGTTTATTATTATTGTGAAGGTGAATTTGGTGAAGTCGAGTTAGGGGACCAGGGTTAAATGAGAGAGAGCTCAGGGAGAAGGCTGACAAAGTGGCAGTTTCAGTCTTCAAGAAGCCCTTGGCTTCTCTTGTTTTGAACTGCAAGAGGACAGATTAGTGGTCAATGGAGATCTCCTTCTCTCTCTAACTTTCTCTCTCTATCTCCACCTTTAAAATGGTCGCTATGGAACCTTTATTTTTCTCTCTCTAAAAGTTTTGACAATGTCATTCCCGCTCTGTATTTACCACTTACTTTCTCTTGAAATAACCGTGGTAAACTACTAACAGTATGAACCAGAGAGATCTACTACCCTGCTCCTTCTCTCTCTCCCTCTCTCAAGTTTGGCTCACTTACAAATCGGCCGGTCTAAGCGGATCCGACCACTGGCCGAGCTGGCTTATGTGGTCCGGCTGTTTATTTTAAAAAAAATTCAAAAATAATATATATAAAATCTCAAAAAATGGAAGATTTGCCGCTAATGTGTTGTTGAATCTTTTTTACATTTTGACAAATATTGGAATGAGTTTTGGCCGTGAATGGTTATTTTTTATATTTTTTTCTTTTTTTGGATTATTTCTAAAATACTCAGCACAAATTGATTTTTTTAAAATTCAATTTTTCACTTCTTTTCAATTTCATTTGGATGTGTTTTGTTTAATTGTGTTTTAAATATATTTTTCATATTTTTTTAATTTTTTTAACACTTTTTTGGCGACAACATGAATAAGCCGGTTTCCGGGTTCAGTTTGATTATTCTAACATTGGTTTTGCTATTTGATCCCGCCTCACTCTGAGCTTGATATATTTGATTGCTACAATTGCATTACCTAAACAAAAAAAAGTTTCGATGAGTTTGGAGACTCTTCTATTAATGTGGTTTCTCTCCAAAATTCATCTTAGAGATAGATTTTAGATCCATCTCAAAGATGGATCTTGAATCAGAAAATTTAGGGATCGAGAATCTCCACCATAATGAACGTAAATATAAAAGAAAAAATTTAAAAAATAAAAAGTAAAATTTTTGACATATTTTCCTTATTTTTAACACTGGTTGTGGTGAGATTTTGTATGACGCAGCAAGGAGCGTGAAAGTACTCTCATGACGCATGAAATACTTTTCCTTTAAGATTTATAGATTTAAGATACAAAACACATATTAAATAAGTGAAAATATAATTTGTTTATATATACATCTTTTTGCGGCATAAAAACTGGATCAAATTTGATGATATATAAAAAAGAAAAATGAATGGTGCCAATAAAAGTTTCAAAATATTATTTTAAAATTTAAAAATTTAGCTATTTTCCATGATCATCGTGGTTGAGATTATTGACCTTAAAATTTTGATCCAAAATCCTTCGGTAAAATGGATTTGGAGGGGAGACATATAAATAGGTATGTCAATTGAACAACCAAAACATCACCAGCTTTCAAGAGATGAAAGTGCAATATTCAATGAAAATAGATGGTGTAAAACATCACAACATCATGTCTACATGTAAGGTTGCAACTTTCTTTTTTTTTATTGGTAATTCAACGGGGATGACGAGCCCCTACCTGTTTTTTTAAATCAGTAGTGGTTTTTTAATGCGTTAGGCAAGAATGGAAACCTAGACTTTAATTGGAGTAACTAACGAAAGGGTACTTGGTGAATTTGTAATAAAAAAAAGTATTTGGTAAGTTGACATACTCATGCCTCTACCCTAGTTTTCGTAGGATTGAGGGCTCAAACGAATCTTGAATTATTGTACATTTTTTTCAGCCTTTTAGTCGTGAATTTGGTGAAAAGTCTATATAAGGTGCCAACCTTATAATATTGAAGTAAAGTGCACCTCAAAAAATCATCTAGAAGAGAGTGTTCCGAGGTTAGAAAACCATCAAATTTGATTATCTCGACCTCAAGATGGATAAATATGGAAAGAAAAAAAATAAAAGAATTCAAGTTTTCAAAATAGCACATCTTGTAAAAAGTTATCTAGGCCGTCTTTTTTCAACAAAAGACGTAATACCTAGTGACTAACGTCAACAAAGGAAAATAAAAATAAAAATGCACTCCACATATCTCTAGAAGAAACATCCTAAACTTGGATAGAGACCATCCAATTTTGGATAGGTAAGTCAAGCATTCAGGAACTCAACATCCAATTGATTTTTGTAAAAGATAGTTTTGTAGTGATTCTAAAGTGGATACCAAATTTTTTTATTAGAAAAGATCCTCTAAGCTAGTCTAGGGAGTAACCATATAGCATGCTCCAGTAGGAGTAACATTTATGATTTCTTCAGTATTTGAGACCATTCACAATGTCGTGTCGTCTCTAGATAATTCCTTCCTTGAATCAAGCAAATCGAGTCGTAACCATGACTCCATTTAGAATGTCATGGTCTATGAGGAATACAAGAAGGAAAATCCAGCCCAAGCATCTCAATAAGGGGACAGTGAAGATGCAAATGATCCATATCTTCGTTCTACAAATACCAGCCTCGAGATGCATAGCTTGTTGGATGATTAACGGTATTAGGTTTGATTATATAGGTTTATCATATCTCCTTTTGTTGTTTTGATGGATAACATTTACTCTTTAAACCCGAAATACCATTATTTCTAAATACTTCAATCTTTTTCAGTAAACAAACTCTCCAAAATACAATACGGTGTCAAATTCTATATTTCTACCTCTAGATACTTTTTAGGATATTGAGGTTGAAAAATTACAAGTATTTCAATCTTCAAAGTACCCAAAAAAAGAACCACAAAGCCTTCAAGACAACATGTAAATCCACTTGCCTGCGCTTTCACAGTTCTCCATGCACACGGTCTTCATGCTTCAGGAGTCTCAGCTTGTGTAGTTAGTTGAGAACAGATCATGTCCCTCATGCTCCACTAAACTGCTGCTATAGCTGCGGAGAAGACTCGTACCATATATTTTGCATGCAATTTGATGACATCCAACCAGTCAAAGCATAGAATAAGAAACTTCCCAGATCTCGTACTCTTTTTGTTACTCTATAAGCAATCGTGGCTTTTGAAGTCTCGCTTATTGACATTTGCATACTAAACCGGAGTTTATTACATATTGCTCGGTTTTGACTTTTGGTATTGTTTAATGGTAGGTCTAATTGCGAAACACTTAGAATCTTCTCTTCAATGGATTCTTTTTTTAAACCAGAGAAATATTTTTAGTTTCTGTTTTGAAAATACTCTAGCCGAGCTATTAGCAAAGCATGCATCTTGCCCGAATTAACCAAACTGAATTTGATCGGAAGTCTGATAATCATTTTACAGAACAACTTAGTTACTCAGTAACTGCACAAAATCTCTCTTAACATACAAGCTAAACTTTTTAGAACCTGAACCATCTTTATACTATCTCTACATATTATTGTTTAGTTACTATTATGATTCATGTTTATATAATTCTGACTATTTGAGTAATTAAGCTCATGTCAAGCTTTTCTGTTTTTCTTTCTTAAGCATCTTTTACTCCACACTTGTTGAAGCCTTGGTTTGCCATTTGACAATTTTTTTAAGAAAAATTGTTGGATCAATTCAATGCCATAATTTCCACCATTTAAGAACCAGTTCCATTGCAAATGATTCCTGCTCAATTATATATGGCCTTAAAACAACTTTTACCAAAAAAGAAAAGAGAGTTTATTGCCGAGATTTCAATCTTTTACGAGTTCTTTTAAAAGAGAGAGAGTTTATTGCTAGGAGTAAGAATTTGGGTAAATTCTTCTGTTAGGTAGATGTCCTGATTTCGTGCACAAAATTTTCTAATTTTTTCCGCAATGTAGTTTCAAAT